AATGAATAAATTAAGGTTAATATGACCAATTTTATTGTTAATTAATGCTAAAAGGTGAATTTTTCTAATATGTATGAAAACATCCAACAAATCAATTAAAGTGGACTGGGATTGAGTATTGTTTAGTGCCTATTAATTAGGGTTGTGCATGGATTGAATCTAATCGGATTTAGCATATTATGGATTGAAATTTTGAATTTCGGATCGGATTATACGTATTATTAAGGCTATTGCTAATCTAATCGGCTAATGCATATGCCTTATCTGCTTCTTCGATGTTATGTGCTAATACAAACATCTCTTTGCTTTTCATCCCTTTTATCAGTATCGCATATCTAAGAAAATATTTTTCTGGAGGTTCGAGTTGTTATGCTTCTAAGTTGCAAAACTCATACTGAAAAATTTCATGTTTCTACAATTATGAGGGTACTATGGTGCCAAACTGCCAATGTAGCTAAATTCAGCAATCGTAAAGGTAATAACTTGGAGAAAGATGTAAAGAAAGTACTGGCTATCCGAAATTAAAGTTTAATATTTTTACATGCCCTAATAATTTCAGATTTCAGATCAGATCGGGTTAAAACTATACCAAACCGAATCCGATCCGAATATTCCAAATTTTAATAAATATAATTCAAAACTCGATCCCAATATCCAAAATCCAAAATTGAACGGATCGGTTCGAATTTTAAATATCTGATCCAAATGCATAGCCCTGCTATTAATGGGCTCACAGCTTTCCATTTTACGATTTTTTTTTGGGTCAAAAATGGATAGTAGATGATACATAAGCTAGAGAATTAAGACACCAGACAAAAAATGGGACCCACTGACACTGACAAGGTTTTCTTTTCATTTACTTTTGGGGCTTAAAATTTCGCTAATTGCCCTCGGAGTTTAGTAATTTACGGAAGTTCGGAAAAAGGATTTGATGCTTCTGATATTCCTTTGATTGGCTGATACTGCATAAGATGTGCGTTGTGACAGAACTTGTTTTTTTATGGGGTGCGGCTGTACTATGTAATAAAAATCATTTACAAGGTTGTACCAAAAAAAAGTATCATTAGATACATATCATTAAACAATGTTTAAGTTAAACGTAAAAATATTTAAATTTTGAAGCTAAAAAAATAAATTAATTGTCGCTTTGGATGACGTACAAAAAAAATTGCGAAAGAAACTTACTTGAAATACATTTTCAAATAATTACTTCAATATTTCACTTAAAAATAATATTTCGCTTGAAACCAAAAATTTTATGGCGAAACTATTACTTGAAAATAATTATTTCAATGTTCGAAATATTGAAATAAACAGTTTCATGGCCAAACGAGATATAGTGTACCAATCCTTTCCAAATTCAATCTTGTAAGGGAACGAGAAAAGAAGTTCACAGTTGGTAGGAAAGTAGAAAATTCTAAGACTATCAGTGGTGATGGTGACTTTTCACCAAAAGTTAAACATAAGGAGTTGTGGAGTGATTTTATTTTGTGCCTCACACAATTGACACTAGTAGTGTGATGTCTCTTTTTATTTCACATATTTGTGGACCCATATCTTACACATCTGAGTCCATAAAATTCTGGGACTCACACAGTTATGAGACAAAAAGGAAGTCTTATACAATTAGTATCAATTGTGTGAGGCTCAAAATAAAAAAATTCGGAGTTTTGTGTGTGTGGCCGGAGGGAGGGGGGCGGGGGGGGGGTTGATAATTTTATCACGAGGTTAAAGTTTGCATTTAAACTTTAAAGTTCGATATAATCCTTCTCGAATAGCCTTCCATAATAAAGGGTAAACCATTTGAAGTTACAATAACATCATTAAACACATAAAATACCTAGAGAGATGTATTTTTTTAGCTATTTCAAAAAATAATAGCCGACGGAATATATTTCTGTATATATATATATTATACATGTTTTAGCTAATAATGCAATTAGTTTCGCTCGACCGACCAATTTTTTTTTTCTCTGAAATCTCTCATTGTTGGATCACATAGTTTGTTATCATTTAATATAGAAAACCATAGACCATGTTTTTTTCCTTTTCATCAACCAAGTTGAAAAGCTTTTTTGTCTGCCTTCCCCTTATACCCCCTTATTTTTCTTTCGTCAGAGTGGTGACTAGTACAATGTTTACGGATTTGTATGATCAACTCAATATCTTATGCTATTTTTATATTAAAAAATTCGTTAAATATATAAGAATATTTAGTTTTGAAATCAGTTCATTGGTTCGACTGTAATTATATATTAACTTAAATTCATTGCAGGAACTCATAAACTTAAACTTTTGGATTCGATCATTTTTATCTTTTCTTCTCTTTTTATGGTGTGTGGTGGAGGGGGAGGGGGGGGGGGTGTTCTAGAGATTCTTGTTTCTTTTGTAGCTGAGAAAAAGAAAGCACAAGAAATTAATAAAGTAATACAGTAGTTTGTGTATGCAGCAAAAAGCCACCAGCAGCATAAAAGCATATACAGGACTTCACTTTCTCTGATTTGTCATATACAGTCAAACTTCTCTATGATAGTCTCGTTTGTTCCAAATATTTTTACATGTTATAGCAAAGTGTTGTTATATAAAATATATAGTGTAACATAACATGAAAATTGGATCCGGAAAAGCTTGACTTTTATAGTGAATTGTTGTTATATAGGGATGTTGTTATAGAGATGTCTCGTGCATAATGTTTATTTAACAAAAGATTCTCATATTCCTCCATTCGAGGTATAAAAATTCTTTCTTCCATAGTTTTGGAGTTCTAATAGAACAAAAACAACAAACTCGTTATTTTGCTTTTCTATTTTAATTTAAAAAAAAAAAAACACCCTTTCTTCAAGAGGAAAAACAAAGAGCATAGAATTTAGAATCTCCTTTACCGGAATTAAAGAATTTAAAAGGTAAAAGGAGAAAACATAATTTCGTGGTTTATGACATTAATTTCACGTATAGACTGGCTAGAACATTACTTAAAACATAATAAGGGAATTTTGAGTATGATGTTTTCTTTACTAATAATAAATTTCATTTGACCACAAACAAATGCATTGCATCTGTATTAATTAACCTTCTAGTTCAGCAAATTTACGGAAGTTAATTACTAATCTAATGCCATGTGGTCACAATCAAATGTTAATTACTAATAAACATACCAAAATGCAACTTTCCTTAGGTCTATTGTTATTATTATTCAAAAAAAATCATTAAATTTGAAAAGAATTTGCCATTACTCTGTACTTTCGGCCTATTTTTAATTATTATTTCAACTTCTTATCAACTTAAAAAAGAATTTGTGAAAGAGATTTGGTAAGAAATTCTCAACTCATGACCAATATGGGCCTAAAGCTTCATAAACAACCTCTGAAATTTCTTTTTCTGTCTTCACAGTTTTATATCTGGAAATTGTGGGAAGTTCCTCCCCTTTCAATGGGCCTAATGTGGCGCTAATTAGTGTTAGTCGGACCAGTAAGTGGTAAAAATTGCACGGGGTGCCCTATTTGGTCGCCCACATTTAACCTATACCCATATTTTTAAAATTATATAACCTATATTCTAATGTTGACTACTTCAGATCCTGCGACCTATGCGCTCCTTTCTTCCTCCTCTTCTTTTCCTCTTCTTCTTCTTTTCTCTCTCAAACGTGTTATCCTCTCAAACACTAATACATCCCAACACAAAGTACGTAAATAATAAAACAAGAGTTTATATTCAAAACTCGAAGAAGCATCAACTGAAGTTTGGGACTGCAGGGCCAAACTTCAGACATTACCAGGTTAAATTTCTTCTGAAGTTTGCAACTATCATGCCAGGAAAAATTATCTGAAGTTCAAATATAACAAGCTAATTTTGTCTGAAGTTTGCACTACAAATTAGTCTGAAGTTTGTACTACAAATTGAAGAACTTCAGACTAATTTGTCTGAAGTTTGCACTATGAACTGAAGTTTTTTTGATTGCTTTTGCAAGTTACCAAACTTCAGACGAAAGTATCTGAAGTTTACTTTGATAAGATGACACTTAAGGCAAAAAAATATGAAGTTCAAACTTCATACATAAATTCTTGCTACTTCAGGCCTCGTATGTCTGAAGTTACCCGAAAAAGTGGGTACGCTTGCAATTTTTTTTACAAAGCGGGTATAAGTTAAATTGTGACCCAAAAACTGGGTATAGATGCAAATCCCCCCCAGTAAGTATCGCGTGATTAAATCTCTAGAAAAGAAACCCAACTTAATTATATTTGACTTTTTAATATAGAGTTAATAGCAAAGAAAAATGAAAAATTTTCAGAAGTGACTATTGTTTAGTAGCTATTAACTTGCTATAGCTACCATTTACTTAATTACTTCATATAGCTATGTTTTCATTTGTGTTAGAGTGTATTCGATGTATTCAAGCTACTGTATTCATGAATACAATAGCAAAACTCGGCGTAAAACAAGGAAGTCCAGCTAAACATAGACTGTATTCATATGTATTCGTGAGTTGTATTCGTGAATACAGGGAAATCTGCGAAAAATAAGGTCTTCAGCTGTATAAAAGCGGTAAGTGAATCAATTAACGCGATAGACTCCTAATATAACTCAACAAACTCAATTATAACACGCAAAATTTGTATTTTCAGTTATAGAAAAGATTCTCAGCTGAAAAACACCCCAAAAACAGAGCAATCTTCAGAGATTCAATCCATCCTTTCTTTTTTTAGTGATATCTTTACTAAAATATTTTTTAGTGGTATCTCTACAAATAGATTTATATATTGATTACATTGAATACAGTTAAATACATACAAATACATTGAATACATGAAGTATAGCAGGTTATCTATAGTGCAAAACATATGAATACATACTGCAGATACATTTGAATACATATATACATCTGAATACATAGATTATATTAATTAAAAAATATATGAATACATTCTAAAATATTGTTGTATGAACTCAAATACATATAAATACATCTAAATATAACAGAATACAAGCACTAGATTTAGGGTTTAGGCATTGAACGACTTCATCTCTTCAGTAACCTTGACAAAATCAACTGATGGCTTCTCACGTGCAATAGGCATGTAAGCACCATGGGCTTGAGTAGCCGTAGCCAATTCCTCGGGGGCAGAATCACTAGCCTTGACCTTGCGAGCGCGTCTTGGGAAGACGACTAATTTGGCCTTATAGGTCTTCAACCCAAAAACTTTAACACTTACCACAACTTTTTGGAGCAAAAAATATTAAAAATTGAGGGAGATAATGGCGCTGATAAAGGAGAGAGCTGGGGAGAGAAATTTGGAGCAAAAAAAATTGAAAACGGCCACGGCAGCTGCTAGGTCTCCATGTCGCCTAGAGAGAGGAGAGAGAGATCGTGGAGAGAGAAATAAGATACTATGCAGTGATTTTGGGAGAGAATAAACTGAAAGAATGAGAGAGAAAAATAATAGACAGCGTATTTAATGGCTTAATGGTAGGAAGTGACCATAAATACATATTTTGCTATAAAATCTAAAAGGTAGCAATAGAAAATAATAATTTAAAAGTATTTTTATTTATAATAAATAGAGTGTAAAGCTTTACTATATGAGGTAAAATTTCCAAGAAAAATTGATTGTGTTAAGAATCAAATTTGCGACACTTCAGTACCCAAAGAGGAATAGGAGAAAGAGAACAAAAATATGATTAAAAAAAAAAAGAGAAGAAAGATATGGTAGAAATAAAAAGGAAAAAGAGAAAAAGGTTCAGTTAATGAGGAATAATTTGAAAAATATAAATTTATTGTGAGACTATGTTTGTCTTGAACAAATTAACTTTCTATTTCTGCTTCTTGGAAGAAGCTAGAATTTGTAGTTTCTCCCTAAAAGCAGAAGAACTCAAGCTGCTGCTACTCAAAAGCACTTTTTCATCTTGGCCAAGCACATTAAATTTTCCAAAAAGTACTTTTTTGACCCAAAAAAATACTTTTGGCCTCCAGAAATTTGACTCTTACATCAAATAAATAAATATAAGAGTTAAGACATGTGTCTTTCTTATATATTTATCGCTTAATCATAATTAAGTAACATTTAATTTGTTAGCTTAATATAAACATAGAGTGCGGTGAATACTTATCATTCGAATTGTGATATCAATGAAAACTTTTTCCATCACATATACATTTATAAATTGACATAACTGTTTGGTTGTCAAAGATATGCTTTGTTCCTTTGGTTAATATCTTCTGTAATCATTTTATTCAATTGCCTTCAAAGTTTGGTAAAATCAGAAAGTCACACTTGCACATGCCTTTCCTTTTTTTTTTTTCATTCATTTCCAGCAAATGACATTTTTAATTAAAATATTTAATTCAATATAAACGAAAACCTTCAGTATAGAAATGTACTCTAGTTCTAGAGTTTGTGTCTTTTCAATCAATCCTCACGATAATCTTCAGTTGATCAAAGGGCCATGGTTTTTCAATAGATAAAATTTAGAATGAGATGTAATATCTCAACCCTTTTTTCTGGCTTATTCTTTTAGATAAAATCCTGATTTACAATTACGTTAATTCAAATAAAAGCAGTATCAGTCTTGTTATCCTTTCCGCTATCTTAAGCATGTTTTCCAAATAAATATTCATTATTTTGTAAGTAAATAGGAGCTATTAAATATATCGGGTAAGATCTTGGGCGGAGCTTAGGGGGAATATTACATCTATATACAATGTCAAAAATATTTTTTATGTATAAATAATAGATATTAAATTTTCTTGACTTCTTGGTATATTTTGTACTTTTTATATATAAAAAACCCCGAAGGAAAATCATGGTTGCGTCATAGGTAAGATAGCATGTAGGAGAAATTTGTTGTTTTCTCTCTTCTTTTCTATGCTAGGAATTAGCCAACCTTTTAAAAAAATTAACGCCTCAAACTTCCCAAGGGATCATAAATTTCCTACTTGATGGTTCTTATATATGGATTCTGAATTTGCCGCAACTTATATCTCCTTTTAGTTAGTGAGTTCGCAATTAAATATTTATACATATTTAATAAATTTTCTAATAAAAAGACAAAGTCTATGTAAAACTTACTGGATTCATTCGAATGCGTAGGTTCTTCTTTAGCACTATCTTGATCTTTTATCCTTAACTAGAGGTTTCCGGTTCGAGTCCAGGTGAAAAACTAAAAATAATATTAGTGTATCAAAAACTCCTATTAAAATAAGGAATTTTTACATTCCTATCCCACTTAGGAAACCTTTTTACCCTACATGTTTAAAGTTTGAGTAAATTACATTTAGTATACCAAATTACCATTTCTATACCATATCTAATTAAGGTTATAATTAATGTAATATTTTCTACTCCTTAATTAAAGCATTTCCGTTTTTTTTCAGTACTAATCCCTCACTTTCTCTCTCCGAACTCCC